GCCCCTTTCCATTCTCCTGTTAATCACTTGTATGGTTCTTGCATTTGTAAAACCCATGCGGGGAAGTTGTGCTAATAGACCTGACATGGCTTCTCGAATTGTTGCTTTGTTTTGCAACAGCAGAGTTACATGGGGTGCCCATGTAGAAGGGGCTCCCCTGATCACCATATCTGCCATGACCTGCGTAAGGGGCATTTTCATGGTGAATATCCCGATCACCATAAAGCCATTCCAGCATGACTTGCATAAGCAGCACATCAGCTGCTTCCTCTGGAGTGTTCCAGGGGGTATTTAGAGGGGGAGAGGGGCAGTTTCCCTTCTCAGGATACACAAACCTGACTGCAAATTTTATCCATTCCAACAGACTAGCTTCCCCCTCTGGGTTAACCTGCGCTGTAAATGGATCTTGGATCAACATTTGTGCCTGTTCCATAGTGAGTTGTGGGTCTTGCATCAATCCAAACAAACTCTTCCACTCGGCAGTATTCAAAAATAAAGATGCCGCCCCTAAATTAGTCACTCTCACAATCCATTTTAGTAAAGGTTCCTCAGGAAGCTGACGATACCAGTCTACAAATTGAAGCAGCTCTTTCAAACTATACCCTCTGCTTTCAGTAGTTTCTTGGCTTTGCCTGTTCATTTCCCGGACTACCATTTTGGTGATCAGTGGTCATACTGGCACTGCCTATTGTTCTGACACAAGTTTTCCTTTCTGGGTAGGCCCTGAAACTAGGGGTCATAGCTCATAGCTCTAATTGGACTGGATCTGAGCTTGATTCAGTGCTACAACCCGGCTCTCTGTTCTTTTTCCCTGCCATTACAGCTATCGCCGATAACAGCAACCAAGGAATCGTTAAGTCTCGCGTTTTCCTCATCATTCTGTATTTCCATATACATGCAACTAGCCAATTCCTCAGGATGAGAGCCACCTCTCCTAAATCCCAGGAATAGCTTTTGCCTTTGGTAATGGATCTCAACAAAAGAGCTGCTTCAATCCATGGGTTTCTTTTATCCCATCCAGAAGCCAAAGGTTTCTTACTTTCCCGTTTATCTCCTTTCTCCCAAAACCACATATTCCAGTGAGTCTGGCCTGTTGCAGCGAATCCCATCATTCTGACACCAATTGCTTGAACAATTTCTCTCAGGAAGATCAGCACAAGGCCGGTCCCCATGAGGTGAAGGTTAAAGATGTCCCAAATGTCCAAACTACTGTACCACTCCATCATTTTAGACATTAACTCCTCCTCCTTCTCCTCCTTCTACCAGTAATTTCCCCAGTCTTGGGGTTCTGTATTTTGCTGTAACACCTCACAGAACTCAGACACCCAAGGATTCGTGTCACGTAATAGTGGTGGAGGCTGGCAAGCTGGCGAGTTCCAGGTCCGTGAGTGGGTCTGGAGGATCCTCCCAATTCTCGGGGTTTGATGAACCTCAATCAGCAGATCAGATGATGGCTGCTGTCCCAAATCCAGGGGTGAGATGAGGATGAGCCAAGACACAAAACCAGAGCAAAGAGGAGAGCGAATCTTTCCAGGAGATTCGTAGGTATACCCCCAAGGAAGCTAAGGGTGGTGATTTTAATTATATCCTCTAGCAAGGCAGGACTCAAGATACATTCCACCTGTGTCACCCCAACAGAAATAACCTAAATCCATCACAGTGTCTATTGCCAGTCATTATGGGTAACGACTACTACGACTGCTACCAGCTGCCCAGCCAAGTTGATACTTGACCGCTACCACACCACCCCAAACAGGTATGGATAATAGGATTTACAAAACATCACAGAATGGAGGACAATGGCTAGAAGGGCCACATCAAGCAATTCACTGCAGAACTTGAAAAACTCTTCAGAAGTATTCACATCATTGAACAGCAAAGCCACCTTTGTGTGTAATACAAGAATTGATTGAGAAAATATAGAATAGAATAGATTATAGTGATAGTGAGTTTTTCAGTTTACTGGTATGAAAAGTTAAATTTTGCCCTAAAATCACCTGTAAATAATGAAATCAGCTCCAGTACCTTTGTTTTCAGACTTCTAGTGACTTAACTCATGGTTATAACTATACTATTATTCTGTTATTTTTAATAGCTCAGAATTCAGAACTTCAAGTAAAGGTAGATGAGATGGAAAAAGCATTTCAGACTTCCCAGCAGAAATGGAAAGAAGAATGCAGAAGATTTGAGCGTGATTTAGAGGAAAGAGACCATGTAATTCAAAATTGCTATAAAGAATATGATTTACTTATGAAAGAAAAAAGCAGACTAGAGAAAATGCTACAGGTAAAGTAGTCTTTACAAAGGAATTTTGCTATGCATGATATTCATTGAGATGGATTGCAAATTATTTGAAGTTATTCTTGGAAAGGAAAATAGCTATCAGCAATAAAATTTGATTTTTGTTCTTTATCTCTTACTCTTTTTCTCTCCTTCTCTCTTCTTCCTTCCTTTTTTTCCTCCTTTCCTTCCTCTCTCCTTCTTAGGGGGGTGTCCTTTCTGGTCTCTTTTGCAATATGTATTAGCTAAATGCTGATATATATAGTTTCTTTTGTGAAAAACAGTTTGAGTTAAAAATGGGAAAACAGACCTTATACGGGCCTATTGTAAGAACATCAAAACCTACAGTTCTTTTGGTCTAACAGGATGAAAATTTAGAATTTTATATATATGTGTGGTTCATAGATTTTGGTGTGAATATACAATAAATATACAGAAGTACCTTTTACATCTGATATAAACTTTTATCTCTATAGAGCACATTCTATAGATACATGATGTATAAAATGTTTAATGAACATTTATTAAAATTATTCTGAGTTATTTAACCCCCCTTTTTTTCCCTTCTTCCTCCCCAAAGTAAAAATATGGCTTAAGATTTCTTTTACCAGCCCCTTAAGAAGAAAGATTTTGAATTGTGTATATTTGCCATTTTTTTAAAGTACCAGTTTAAATTAAAAAAAAAAAATTGATAATAATGCTATAAATTTACTAATGGTGTAAATAGCATTTCAGATTACTGGTAATACATCTTTTCTTAAAAAAAAATTTTGTAAAAGCATTTTGGCACAAGGGTTCCCTACTTTTCATTTTCTGCAGGTTACTATTTATAGTTTCTCCCTTTTGTTTACTGATGTATTCCCAGACCCTGAAACAGTGCCTGGCATATATAAGTGAATGGGCAAAGTTTAGGTGGACGTGTGGAGAGCCCTGTATGCTTTCCTCATATGGAATGTCTCAGCTCTATGGGAGAAGGAGCATGATGATAACAGTATTCCTTTCAATCAATCAGTTTATCCCTCGAGATACAAAGAAGATCTTGATATATCTGGATTAGTTGTTTAGGAAATCTCTGCTTTGATTTTAGGCTAGTGGCTTTTTCTCTGATCTGCATAGAGACCTTTGAGGAACTTGGGGTTGAATTGTTGTTGTTAGTTGCCATCAAGTTGATTCCTACTCATGGCAGCCCATGTATGTAGAGTAGAACTGTTCCATAGGGTTTTCAAAGCTGTGACCCTTTGGAAGCAGATTGCCAGGCCTGTCTTCTGAGCTATCTCAGATGGGTTTGAACTGCCAACCTTTCAGCTAATAGTCATATGCTTAACTGTTTATGCCACCTAGGGACTCCTGTGATTGAATTAGAGTCACTATTTAGCCCTTGGGGGAAAGCTCATATTGTCCCTTAATAAAAGTTATGAGGACAGTCTTTATTATGAAGATCTATTCTGTTATGTGGACGTGGGAGGCTTTTTTCTCTTTTGTATAAACCACAGAATTTTTCTCCTGATGTTAGCAGGGATTTAATTTAAAACCATATAGGTTAGAAAATTGGGTTTCTCAGGATACCTGCATTTTATATTTTTAAGATTTTGAACCAAATTTGATCTTATAAATGTAGTATGATTAAGAATACACAAAAGTAAAAATCTTTTTTGCAAATATTGTCTATCTGTAGAACTAGAAAGTAGTTATGTTCCAAACTTAAAAATAACCTCCCCCCAAAATTTTAACATGCTAGAGTTTCCTTATCCTGATTTGTTACAAACAATTCTTCCGTCTCTCCTTTTGGAAATATGTTGTTCTTTCTCAGAATTATATATAGATTAAAGGATAGTTCAAACAGTGTGTTGCCATATTAACTGGAATCTAGTTTTTTTCTCTTTATCATATAGTGCATTTTGTTCAAACCTCTGAAATTAAACAAATTTTTCAGAAAAATTGGGTCAAAAATATGTGCCTCATATATATTATGTTGTTTAAATTAAACTGGTAACCATAGCTTCTTAGTTAGATCTACATTCTGATGATCAAAATATAATGGTTTTATTCATTATTTGAACATAAATTATAATGGGTTATACTGTTAATTATAAATTATAATGGGTTATACTGTTAATTATAAATTAACAGTCTGTAGGTACGGAAAGGCTCTTTTTATATTTAAACTGGAGATGAAGGAAGAAGATAAACCTTTATTGATCTAATAGTAAAGCAAGATTTTATTTATACAAAGGAAGCACTGGAAAACCATCAGCAGGAGAAGAATGAGATGGAGGCTCAGATCAGGGAGACAGCACTGGAGGAGTTTAGATTACAAGCAGAACAATGGGAAGCAGAAAGAAGAGAGTTACAATTTATAGTACAGGTATTTTAAAAATAATAATTCAGTTTCTTAAATATGTCTTTTTAATGCTAATGATATGAAAAACGACCTTAATGGGTAATTGTCTAGCTCACTCCAGGGGAAAATGATTCCGAGCTTTTGATGTCTCGTAATCATGTTTCATCTATTGTCACCTGACCAGCTGCGCAGCTGTTACCAACAGATAGTATTTTGTGAGAGTTGGGGGGCTTCCTGTGCCTACATTATATGTTATATGATTTTGAAGAGGCATGTATACATTTGCTATTTTATTTTTCCAGTTTAGAATATGGGACTAATAACTGTCTTTAATAGGGTAGAAAAATGGAAAAATAGGATTTGGGATATTAAAGGATTCTTGTAAATCATGTAGTACAGTGATTTTTAAACTCTTTTTAAGGGGAGGTACAAATTCTTAATCATTCTCTAACCCCTCTCCCAAGCATATTAACAGAACTCCTAAGGCTTCAGAGGGTCTAGTTTGAAAATCAGTCATCACACAGAAGTTATTGACATATTCAGATTACAGACTATTGAGTGATTAATGTTGAAAAAGACTATAGGTCCCTGGATTCTGACTCCAGTGTACTTTGATTATATGTAAATTATTTTGAAAGAGACACAGTAGAAATTCAGATAGTTAATTATGTTATTGTGTATTTTAAAGGATATTTACAAACAATCCCTTTTAAGAAAAATAACCAACAAATTTAAAATTTCAAATAAATTTTAATTTCTTCTCCCATTAACTTATATTGTGATAAGTCATACAATATGTCTTATATAGATCTTTTAAAAAATTTATTTTTTTAAAATTGTAATTTGGGTGAAAATTTACAGAGTAGATTGGTTTTCTGTTCAGTAGTTTATACACATTTTGTGATATTCATTGCGATCCTCACAATGTAATAAAACTCTTCTCGCTTCCTCTTTGTGTTTACCATTTCCCTTTGTCCTTCTTTCCTGTCCCTTCCTCCCTTTTTAGCTTTATCCTGGGCAAATGCTACTTTTTTGATCTTATGTCGTTAATTGTCCTAAAGAGTGAGTACCTCCTTGGTGGTATTGTTCAATTTATAGGCCTGAAAGTTGAGCTGCAAGGATGAGTGCATTTGCAGGCTTGAAGGGTGTTTAAGGGCCAAGAACTCTTTTTTTTTAAATACAAAATAATAAATTGAAAGTCTTCTATAGATGTCAAAGAAAGACATATATTTTCACAAAAATGAAAAAATAAAATCCCACCTTTAATCAATTTTTGTAGTAACTTTGTGTTAGGAACTCAACTTTGCAAGATATAAGCTGGCCAAAAATATAGAATAGGAAATGTCTTATTTCTTTAAGAGTGAAAGGTGGCAGTGACTTGTGGAAATGCTTTATTTGTTGACATATGTACATCTTCAGAATAAGAAGAAAACCACAGCTTTTCCCAAACCTGTAGTCTTTGTGCAGTGCTCATCTTCCCACACTCCTGAAAAATCTGGGAAAGACAATTGTTAGGTGCTGTGGAGTTAATTTTGACTCTTAGTAATCCCATGTGACAGAGTAGAGCTGCCCTGTATGGTCATTTTGGCTATAATCTTCACGGGAGAAGATCACTAAGTCTTTTCTACCAAGTATCCACTGGGTGGATTCCAACCACTAACCATTCAGTTAGCAGCCGACTGCTAACTGAGCCATCCATGGTTACTTAACATCTCTTTTTCTCTTAAGACCTCATGATGTTTTTTATTTAAATAAATAAATAAATAAATAAATAGTTTTTAAAAAATTGTGATTTGGGTGAAAGTTTACAGAGCGAATTCACTTTCCATACAGTGTTTTACACACATTGTCTCATGACACTGACTACAATTTACCCCATTGCAACAGCTCCCCTCCCACTTTCTCCTGGTAGTTACCTCTTCCTTGTGTCCATCCCTCCATGTACTCCTGCCCCCTGAGCTGTCTCCCTGTGCATAAACAGCCCCTCTTTCTCCCATGATTGTTCTCTCCAAGGAGTGTGTCTACCGCAGGTACATGTTCAATTCATATGCCTGTCTTTTGTTTGGCTGTAAGTCACAGATGTGGGTTCAATTCCAGACCTGAAGGGCAGCTAGGGTCCATAGTCTCAGTGGTTCCACCAGGCTCTATCAGACTAGCAAACCTGGTCCGCCTCCCCCCCTTTTTTTTCCAAATGATTTTGAATGTTGTTCCACATTGTTCTCCCTCTCTATCCAGGATCTCCTACATAGATCCACTTCCAAGTGGTTGACAGTGGTAGCTAGGCACCATCTAGTTCTTCTAGTCTCATAGTTGTATAGGCTGCAGATCGGATGGTGTACCAGTCGCTAGGACTAATTCTTTCCATGGATTTTGGTTTTCTTCATTCTTGTTTGCTCTGGACGAGGAGAGACCCATTGTTGCATCTAGATGGCTGCTTGCAAGCTTTTAAGATCCCAGTTGCTACTCACCAAAGTAGGAGGTGGAACAATGTTTTGTGTAGTATGTTATGCCAATTGAGCTTGATGTCCCCTGAGACTATGGTCCCGAGCCCACAGGTTGAACTACTCACTCCCTCTGGGTAGCTGGCTGTGACAAAGAAGTGACTACAACCTTGTCCCTTGTTAGCTCTACTATACCCCTGGGAATTCTTACAAAACATTCAAATACAATTGTAGAACCATTTCTCCCAACCCTATACATAATCTTGGGTATACTCCCTGCTGCATAGACATACCTAATAGTTCAGCCTGCCCACCCATCTATCCACCCATATACCTATGTTTGCTTTCACAGACAATGCAGTACTGTATGTGCAAAAGGGTTCATCTTTGTTGTCTGCACCTCCCATGTACCTCTCTTTGTCTTCCTCTTCCTCAGTGCCACCATGTTGATCACTCACATTTGGTACATTGTCCTTCTCTTCACCCAAATCAATACTTACATCTACCTATCTAACAGTGTTCCCTTCCCTCCCCTCCCACCCCTGGTAACCAACAGAGAAAATTTCCTTCCATATATAAACTGTTCCTTGACTTTTACAATAACGGACTGATACAATATTTGTCCTTCTGTGATTGACTTACTTCACTCAGCATAATGTCCTCCAAGTTCATTCACATTATGCAGTGTCTTGCAGATTCTACATTATTCTTTAGTGTTGCATAGTATTCCATTGTGTGTATGTACCATATGTTGGTTATCCATTCCTCAGTTGATGGACACTGCGGTGTAGTAAATTACTTAGTGTGGCT